GTAAACTGCATATGGGAAGCCGATGAAAGTAGTCGCCATGGAGAGGTTTATATATTCGACCATGTATTTTAGCAGGAATGTACAAATTCAGATGTATATGGATCTGTAGTAAAACCTTTAGTCGATTCCTTCATGGATGGTTTCAATGCCACAATATTTGCATATGGCCAAACATCTTCTGGCAAAACACACACCATTTTGGGCAATAAAACAGATCCTGGGCTTTTCCAATTAGTATCCAATCAGTTATTCCAGCATGTGGCAGACCAGGTTGATAAGAGGTACTTGATTAGATGCAGTTATATTGAAATCTACAATGAAAAGATCAATGACCTCCTGGATAAGAGCAATCAGGGTTTAACTATAAGAGAAGATATCAAAGGAAATGTGCTGCTTGATGCAAGGGAAGCTGTCGTAGACAATGTTGATTAAGTTATGGAGGACATGATGCAGGGCAATAAGATCAGACGAGTTGCAGCTACTCGCATGAATGAGAGGTCATCTCGATCACACACGATTTTCCGGATTATTCTGGAGTCGAAAGATGCCAATCAGAAAGATGGACCTGTACATATAAGCTACCTTAACTTAATGGACTTAGCTGGTTCTGAGAGAGTTTCTCTGACGAAAGCTGCTGGTGAGCGTCTTAAAGAGGGGGCTAACATAAACAAATCTTTGTCAGTATTAGGAAATGTGATAAGGCAACTAAGCGAGGGGAAGGAGTTTCTTGGCGGTAATGCCAAATCATTGATTATCGGGAATGTTACTTTAGCTGCAGAGGAGGAGACTAGATCTACACCAGAATTCGCCCAAAGCACTAAAACTGTCAAAAATAAAACGAAAGTAAACATCTTGTCAGCTACAGAAGAGACACTTCAAGGATATCAGAACTTGACTCGCGATCTCGAAACTCGGCTCAAAAAGCAGGCAATTAAACTAAAAGAGATGGATAAAAGCAAACAAGAGTATCTGCTCGAGATAGAAAGACTAAAAACGGAAGTATCTATTGTCGGGCGCTTTCAAATGGGAGCCTCGGCATCAACACCGAAAAAAACATTAAGACGTCATACTTTTGGACACTATGGCAACGTATCACCTAAAAAAGCATCCCTAGGGTATATGCCATTGAAAAATTATCCACCCAAAGAAGAATCATCCGGACGTGAAATGAGGCCTATTCAAGAAGAGACATATGAGGAGGCACTAGCCGAAGCAGAATCTGTGATAGCTGAAGACGTGCAAGTGTACTTAAAAGACAACTCAAAGAACTGGAAGAATCTTTCAATGAGCTTAGAGAATTCACTAAACTAGATAATCAGCTGGAGATTTTGGACCTGAAGAAACAGCTCACAGAAGCCAATTCTAAATTCGATCGTTACAGTCAGGAACTCCGCCAAGTAACGGATGCGTACAACGAAGAAATAGAAAGAGTTCAAAAAAAATTCTCAAAAAGCGCAAGAATTTCATCGACTTGCAATACAGACTCGATTTTCTGGAAAAAAATAATAAAAAGACTAAAAACATACGAGTCAGAAATAGAGATGCTGCGTACTCAACTGAAGAACCTAGGAAGATCAGAGAGCCCTAAACCATCTCTTGAAGCTCAAAATATTGAGTCAAAAAAGAAGGTTGCAGACTTAGAAGCTATGCTTGACGCTGAGTACGAAGATATGCAACATTCTTTAAGTGCTGCTGCACAAACTGATGTAACGATGTCACACATTGCTGAACTGCAAGATGAAATTGGCTTCCTAAAAGAACTTGAATCTAAACTGAGAAATGACGTAAAGAGTCTGATGGACGAGAGTAACCAACGTGAGGTCAACCACTCATTTAAAATCTCAGATATACGATGCCATAATGATTCTACTATAAAAGAGCTTCAGGATCAAATGGCTGAACTGGAATGCCAAAACGAAATCTGGATTATGAAAAAGGACGACGAAATCAGAAAATTGCAACAACTAATTACAAACCCGAAGCAGGCTGGCACTTAACCAGAACCACCTGTGCAGGAAGACGTTGCATTTTATAGGGAGCAAGTTGAGTTCTCCCAGAACATGTACAAAAATGAGATAATAGGTGGAGAGTTACGTATAAACCATAGAGAAAATCTTCAGGCAGTTAAACTAGAAATATGTCTACCCTTGTTTAGTGTTTACGATTATTGCAGGGTTTGGACAAAGTCTAGGGCTGATCCCAGTGCTCACAGTGTACAATTTTCAGCTAATAAATCTTGAATTCTGAGGTAACAAAATCAACTAGAACTCTGAAAAGTGATTTATCAGAAATCATGCCCTTACTTCCATGATGAGAGGGATTCGTAAAAATTATAAGCAGGTTGTGGCTTATTATCTAGTAAAAGATACAAGAATCCCAGATCTGAAAACGATTATTGTTCATGTGATCACAAACTAGCAGCGACTTGGTTTGTGCGTTGTTGGCACTATTTCTAATCAGGGCGCAACGATCAAAAACGCACTTGAGACGATTTGCTCGGAGAATACTCACGGATCAAGTCCATTCCATTTTATAGTCAATGCTCAGAGTATTTCTACAATTTGTGATGAACCTCATTTATTCAAAAATGGATGAAATGCTCTTATTGACATTAATATGAAAGTGAAGAAGCTGCACAGATTGAACATGTCTAGAAATCATATAATGTTGATCAGCAAACAAGACCATACAAAGAGCTATGTAAATTGAAACCCAGCCACTTTGATTTTATAGATTCGTTCAAGAATATAGAAATTAATCCTTTAATGATATCGTCGGATGATTCGAGCTTTCTCAGTTATGTGGTGGGGGTCCCGTGACTTCTCATACGGTATGAGCACGTATACCTCAAACCACAGTTTAATTTAAACATCACAATTGTTGGTTGTTGACTTTGCGGTCAAATTTGATCCGAGGATGTCAGTTGCGTGTACGATTTGAACTTCCTTCACAATGGATTTTTTCGTTGTTGACGGATGAACAATACACTATAGACTACGCCGAGGACGACGCTGCTATCGATCAACCTGAACAACTTCCTATGGGCGACCTCGCTATGCCTATGGAAAAAACATGTACAATTGGTCAAAACGAGCGCCTGCAACTGGTCGATTATTACGCATTTACCTGAACTAAAGTCCGTGGCAACCAATTTGGAAAATAATAACCCTGTGACTCGAGAAATGCCGATAAATTTCTCCAAATACGTGAAATTTTCGAGACACTCATAGAGAACTGTCGAAATTGTTATATTTCGGGTGAGTCCCCTACAAAATACGAGATGCTCGTGGGCCGATGTCCTTCCTGTGCCTACAAGAAAACTAAACCGAATAAGTATGGACTGATGATGCAAAGACTCACCACTACCTGCTCAATGCTTTCGTCTATACGAACAGAAATATCACAGCAGATGACTGGTTCACGTCAGTAGAATTACATGTAGAATTGCGCATCAACCAACTGACCTATGTCGGCAGGAAGCGTAAAAATAAGTAACAAGTACCCCAACATGTAGTTCCAAATAAGAAGGAAACACAGCCAGGTACTTCTAAGTTTATGTTCACTAGCACTACAGCCTTAGTGTAGTATCTTCCAAAACCAAATACACATGTTCTCGTATAGCAATCTATGCAGCATGATAACAAAATAGTAGACTAATCAAAGAAACCTGATAAGATTCTATATTATTTTTATAACACTATGAAGGCGGGGGGTAATGCATTAGATCGGAAGTGTGTAAATTACAATACTGGTTAGAGAACGAGAAGATGGCCTTGTGCTATTTGGTATCCAACCAGCTTCTGTAAATTCCTTTTTTTTCAGTCTGGGACTGAAAGTTCTATTAGGCGACGAAATTTTTTTGTTCCCCTGAGGCAAACTCTAATTTAACTTCGTATGAGAGGACGTTTATCAGATCCAAGACTTCCTAGGGAGCTTCGTTCAGCCATGCAAAGAATCCAAAATTACCAACGACGAATAAAGTAAGCCGTCTACTTCTCAGCCCAGAGTTCTCGATCCTGATGCAGTTGATAAAGGGAAAAAACGACGTAGGTGTTACATGACAATACACAATGAAAAAAATGTTCTACAATCTGTAATAAGTATGTAAAGTCACAGCGCAGCTAGATTGTTTCGTGAAAAGTGATAAATGTGAATTATTGTACGTTTCCTTATACGGGAAAGTATTTCTTTTGTTGTAGAATATCAACACCAAATATGTGTTAAATGGCCCATTTTGTTAGTTTTTTTATGTTCATATTACAGTTCAAGTTTCGTAAATTATATTTATTGCATTACTCATCTTCAAATGGGGTATTTTCGTTTTTAGACAATAAACAGTTTTCATGTAAGAGTGTCTTATGCGTACAAACCTGTTGTACACATTGCTAAAAACAGTAATGGCATTTCAGAAGTTGATAGTAAGATCCGGTGGATAACTGTTTTGCGAGATTAGAACACGAACCCCATCTGCTTATTTGCAGCATTAAAAACTGTAATAACCAACAATTTCAGTTTTCCATTGACAATAATGAAGAATTATGAAGGCGATTCATGTAAGGCACTAGGTAACTTCGCGTTGCTTTTAGAAGAGTATTGTCTGAATAGACAACAGTTACCTTGTGATTCTTCACCGAGCTGCATTTTTCAAGTTGAAAAATCGGGTGCTGGAAGTGATGGATCTATAGATTTGTGAGAATTTGCTGCTGCTTCAACTTCTTTTTGTAATAACAATAACAGTCTATAAGAAATTTAACAATTCTGTTTCTTCTTTGATTTTGAGTCACCCTGTAAATGTAGCTCTACTAAACTATCGGACCGCATTCATAGCCTACAAGAGAAAAAAATCTTCTATACTGGAAAGGAGGAAAAAAAGAATGTATCAACCTGATACATCTGCCCCTCTTTATAACCCGTGAAAAAGCCCTAGTCCTAATTAAATTTCAGTTCAAGCTTCCAAAATGACTTCCGACAATATTAAAGTAGCCATAAAGATCAGACCAATGATCCACCGCGAAGTAGCCGATGGTCTAGAGCGTCTTTGGAACGTAAGTGAAAACTGCATATGGGAAGCCAATGAAAGTAGTCGCCATGGAGAGGTTTATATATTCGACAATGTATTTAACCAGGAATGTACAAATTCAGATGTATATGGATTTGTAGTAAAACCTTTAGTCGATTCCTTCATGGAAGGTTTCAATGCAACAATATTTGCATATGGCCAAACATCTTCTGGCAAAACACACACCTTTTGGGCAATAAAACAGATCCTGGGCTTTTCCAATTAGTATCCAATCAGTTATTCCAGCATGTGGCAGACCAGGTTGATAAGAGGTACTTGATTAGATTCAGTTATATTGAAATCTACAATGAAAAGATCAATGACCTCCTGGATAAGAGCAATCAGGGTTTAACTATAAGAGAAGATATCAAACGTAATGTGCTGCTTGATGCAAGGGAAGCTGTCGTAGACAATGTTGATCAAGTTATGGAGAACATGATGCAGGGCAATAAGATCAGACGAGTTGCAGCTACTCGCATGAATGAGAGGTCATCTCGATCACACACGATTTTCCGGATTATTCTGGAGTCGAAAGATGCCAATCAGAAAGATGGACCTGTACATATAAGCTACCTTAACTTAATGGACTTGGCTGGTTCTGAGAGAGTTTCTCTGACGAAAGCTGCTGGTGAGCGTCTTGAAGAGGGGGCTAACATAAACAAATCTTTGTCAGTATTAGGAAATGTGATAAGGTAACTAAGCGGGGGGAAGGAGTTTATCAGTTATCGCGATTCGAAATTGACTAGACTGCTCTCACAGGCTCTTGGCGGTAATGCAAAATCATTGATTATCGGGAATGTTACTTTAGCTGCAGAGGAGGAGACTAGATCTATCTAGACTAGAATTCGCCCAAAACACTAAAACTGTCAAAAATAAACCGAAAGTAAACATCTTGTCAGCTACAGAAGAGGCACTTCAAGGATATCAGAACTTGACTCGCGATCTCGAAACTCGGCTCAAAAAGCAGGCAATTAAGCTAGAAGAGATGGAGAAAAGCAAACAAGAGTATCTGCTCGAGATAGAAAGACTAAAGACGGAAGTATCTATTGTCGGGCGCTTTCAAATGGGAGCCTCGGCATCAACACCGAAAAAAATATTAAGACGTCATACTTTTGGAGACTATGGCAACGTATCACCTAAAAAAGCATCACAAGGGTATATGCCATTGAAAAATTATCCACCCAAAGAAGAATCATCCGGACGTGAAATGAGGCCTATTCAAGAAGAGACATATGAGGAGGCACTAGCCGAAGCAGTATCTGTGATAGCTGAAGACGTGCCTGCAAGTGTACTTAAAAGACAACTCAAAGAACTGGAAGAATCTTTCAATGAGCTTAGAGAATTCACTAAACTAGATAATCAGCTGGAGATTTTGGACCTGAAGAAACAGCTCACAGAAGCCAATTCTAAAATCAATCGTTACAGTCAGAAACTCTGCCAAGTAACGGATGCGCACAATGAAGAAATAGAAAGGGTTCAAAAAAATTCTCAAAAAGCGCAAGAATTTCATCGACTTGCAATACAGACTCGATTTTCTGGAAAAAAATTATAAAAAGACTAAAAACATACGAGTCAGAAATAGAGATGCTGCGTACTCAACTGAAGAACATAGGAAGATCAGAGAGCCCTAAACTATCTCTTGAAGCTCAAAATATTGAGCCAAAAAAGAAGGTTGCAGACTTAGAAGCTATGCTTGACGCTGAGTACGAAGATATGCAAGATTCTTTAAGTGCTGCTACACAAACTGCTGTAACGATGTCACACATTGCTGAACTGCAAGATGAAATTGGCTTCCTAAAAGAACTTGAATCTAAACTGAGAAATGACATAAAGAGTCTGATGGACGAGAGTAACCAACGTGAGGTCAACCACTCTTTTAAAATCTCAGATATACGATGCCATAATGGTTCTATTATAAAAGAGCTTCAGGATCAAATGGCTGAACTGGAATGCCAAAACGAAATCTGGATTATGAAAAATGACGACGAAATCAGTAAATTGCAACAACTAATTACAAACCCGAAGCAGGCTGGCACTTAACCAGAACCACCTGTGCAGGAAGACGTTGCATTTCATAGGGCGCAAGTTGAGTTCTCCCAGAACATGTACAAAAATGAGATAATAGGTGGAGAGTTACGTATAAACCATAGAGAAAATCTTCAGGCAGTTAAACTAGAAATATGTCTACCCTTGTTTAGTGTTTACGATTATTGCAGGGTTTGGACAAAGTTTAGGGCTGATCCCACGGACCACGATAGCACCTAGGACTTAAGATTGTGAATCTAGTCTTGGTAACCGCTCACAGTGTACAATTTTCAGCTAATAAATCTTGAATTCTGAGGTAACAAAATCAACTAGAACTCTGTAAAAGTGATTTATCAAAAATCATGCCCTTACTTCCATGATAAGAGGAATTCGTAAAAATTATAAGCAGGTTGTGGCTTATTATCTAGTAAAAGATACAAGAATCCCAGATCTGAAAACGATTATTGTTCATGTGATCACAAACTTGCAGCGACTTGGTTTGTGCGTCGTTGGCACTATTTCTAATCAGGGCGCAACGATCAAAAACGCACTTGAGACGATTTGCTCGGAGAATACTGGCGGATCAAGTCCATTCCATTTTATAGTCAATGCTCAGAGTATTTCTACAATTTGTGATGAACCACATTTATTCAAAAATGGATGAAATGCTCTCATTGACATTAATATGAAAGTGAAGAAGCTGCACAGATTGAACATGTCTAGAAAGCATATAATGTTGATCAGCAAACAAGACCATACAAAGAGCTATTCGTTCAAGAATATAGAAATTAATCCTTTAATGGTATCGTCGGATGATTCGAGCTTTCTCAGTTATGTGGTGGGGGTCCCGTGACTTCTCATACGGTATAAGCACGTATACCTCAAACCACAGTTTAATTTAAACATCACAAGTGTTGGTTTGTTGACTTTGCGGTCAAATTTGATCCGAGGATGTCAGTTGCGTGTACGATTTGAACTTCCTTCACAATGGATTTTTTCGTTGTTGACGGATGAACAATACACCATAGACTACGCCGAGGACGACGCTGTTATCGATCAACCTGAACAACTTCCTATGGGCGACCTCGCTATGCTTATGGAAAAAACATGTACAATTGGTCAAAACGAGCGCCTGCAAATGGTCGATCCAGACGACAATATTATTACGCATTTACCTGAACTAAAGTCCGTGGCAACCAATTTGGAAAATAATAACCCTGTGACTCGAGAAATGCAGATAAATTAACACTCATAGAGAACTGTCGAAATTGTTATATTTCGGGTGAGTCCCCTACAAAATACGAGATGCTCGTGGGCCGATGTCCTTCCTGTGCCTACAAGAAAACTAAACCGAATAAGTTAGTATGGACTGATGATGCAAAGACTCACCACTACCTGCTCAATGCTTTCGTCTATACGAACAGAAATATCACACCAGATGACTGGTTCACGTCAGTAGAATTACATGTAGAATTGCGCATCAACCAACTGACCTATGTCGGCAGGAAGCGTAAAAATAAGTAACAAGTACCCCAACATGTAGTTCCAAATAAGAAGGAAACACAGCCAGGTACTTCTAAGTTTATGTTCACTAGCACTACAGCCTTAGTGTAGTATCTTCCAAAACCAAATACACATGTTCTCGTATGGCAATCTATGCAGCATGATAACAAAATAGTAGAGGAATCAAAGAAACCTGATAAGATTCTATATTATTTTTATAACACTATGAAGGCGGGGGGTAATGCATTAGATCGGAAGTGTGTAAATTACAATACTGGTTAGAGAACGAGAAGATGGCCTTGTGCTATTTGGTATCCAACCAGCTTCTGTAAATTCCTTTTTTTTTCAGTCTGGACTGAAAGTTCTATTAGGCGACAAAATTTTATTGTTCCCCTGAGGCAAACTCTAATTTAACTTCGTATGAGAGGACGTTTATCAGATTCAAGACTTCCTAGGGAGCTTCGTTCAGCCATGCAAAGAATCCTAAATTACCAACGACGAATAAAGTAAGCCGTCTACTTCTCAGCCCAGAGTTCTCGATCCTGATGCAGTTGTTAAAGGGAAAAAACGACGTAGGTGTTACATGACAATACACAATGAAAAAAATGTTCTACAATCTGTAATAAGTATGTAAAGTCACAGCGCAGCTACATTGTTTCGTGAAAAGTGATAAATGTGAATTATTGTACGTTTCCTTATACAAGAAAGTATTTGTTTTTGTTGTAGAATATCAACACCAAATATGTTGTTAGATGGCCCATTATGTTAGTTTTTTTATGTTCATATTACAGTTCAAGTTTCGTAAATTATATATTTATTACATTACTCATCTTCAAATGGGGTATTTTCGTTTTTAGACAATAAACAGTTTTCGTGTAAGAGTGTTTTATGCGTACAAACCTGTTGTACACATGGCTAAAACAGTAATGGCATTTCAGAAGTTGATAGTAAGATCCGGTGGATAACCTGTTTTGCGAGATTAGACGTGGGATTTCCAACACGAACCCCATCTGCTTATTTGCAGCATTAAAAACTGTAATAATCAACAATTTCAGTCTTCCATCGACAATAATGAAGAATTATGAATGCGATTCATGTAAGGCACTAGGTAACTTCGCGTTGCTTTTAGAAGAGTATTGTCTGAATAGACAACAGTTACCTTGTGATTCTTCACCGAGCTGCATTTTTCAAGTTGAAAAATCGGGTGCTGAAAGTGATGGATCTATAGATTTGTGAGAATTTGCTGCTGCTTCAACTTCTTTTTGTAATAACAATAACAGTCTATAAGAAATTTAACAATTCTGTTTCTTCTTTGATTTTGAGTCACCCTGTAAATGTAGCTCTACTAAACTATCGGACCGCATTCATAGCCTACAAGAGAAAAAAATCTTCTATACTGGAAAGGAGGAAAAAAAGAATGTATCAACCTGATACATCTGCCCCTCTTTATAACCCGTGAAATAGCCCTAGTCCTAATTAAATTTCAGTTCAAGCTTCCAAAATGACTTCCGACAATATTAAAGTAGCCATAAAGATCAGACCAATGATCCACCGCGAAGTAGCCGATGGTCTAGAGCGTCTTTGGAACGTAAGTGAAAACTGCATATGGGAAGCCAATGAAAGTAGTCGCCATGGAGAGGTTTATATATTCGACAATGTATTTAACCAGGAATGTACAAATTCAGATGTATATGGATCTGTAGTAAAACCTTTAGTCGATTCCTTCATGGAAGGTTTCAATGCAACAATATTTGCATATGGCCAAACATCTTCTGGCAAAACACACACCATTTTGGGCAATAAAACAGATCCTGGGCTTTTCCAATTAGTATCCAATCAGTTATTCCAGCATGTGGCAGACCAGGTTGATAAGAGGTACTTGATTAGATTCAGTTATATTGAAATCTACAATGAAAAGATCAATGACCTCCTGGATAAGAGCAATCAGGGTTTAACTATAAGAGAAGATATCAAAGGAAATGTGCTGCTTGATGCAAGGGAAGCTGTCGTAGACAATGTTGATCAAGTTATGGAGAACATGATGTTGGGCAATAAGATCAGACGAGTTGCAGCTATTCGCATGAATGAGAGGTCATCTCGATCACACACGATTTTCCGGATTATTCTGGAGTCGAAAGATGCCAATCAAAAAGATGGACCTGTACATA